ATTAATCATGTAACCTCAATTTCGATTACTCTATTAATAAAGATCACGAGAAATGCCTCACTTAACATTAAAAAAAATACAGTTCAAGGAAGAAATACTAATTAAATTGAAGCACAGGCCTTAAATTATACAAATAGGCAATATTGTAATATTGTAATTTTGGCTTATACAGTATTTAATAAAGATTGGTCTTTTGCTGATAGATAACCAACTAATTACTTACTTAATTGTCTGGAGCATAGTGTAGGACATTATACTTTTACTACACCCTTTGATAATTACAATCACGTGAATTTTTCCGTTTGTTCGCATGCATCATGTTTTAATATATTGTTAATTAATAAAAAAAAAATCAAAAAAAAAAATCAAAATAAACATTGATTAAGGTTATGACAACAATAATGATAATTAATCACATTAATTTTTTGGTTTATCCGCACGCGTCACATTTTAATATATTATTAATAAAAAAAAAAAAATCAAAATAAACGTCGATTTAGGTTATAACGACAATAATGATAATTAATTAGATTAGATTAGATAATATCATAGAAGCCAATTGCTCCTCTTTATCTTTTCTATCTTGTAACCTTTTGCAATCTCTAATACGCTGAAGTCTTTCAAAACTAAATGGCCTGAATAGGAGATCTTTGAGGATATAAACCCTAGACACCACCACAAATGAAAGACCAGCAGCAAATTCTTTATTGCCAAGATCTATTATAGTCTTTTGTATTGTGAGCTCCTGACTTTTGTGTACTGTAATGGCCCACGCAAGACGAACAGAAATTTGAAAACATGAGTACGTTATACCAGATTTATTCTCCAAGTCTGTCGAATGGGTGCAATTGGGACAACTTTTAAGCCTTCTAAGGTGGTAATGGTGGGACCTTTATAATTTTCAAAAGAGATAAAAACTGCTATAGGAAGAAAAGGTGGTTCCTGGTTATTATTAAATAAAATATCATGGACAGTTCCCATTAAACCGTTAACTAATCCAACTTCTATCCATAGGTTTACTGTCAGCATAACGCGTGTGCCTCTTGCTAGTAATATCTGTGCTTCAAAATCATGTGCCACATCAGAGTTGGCTTTTTTAGCCTCATTGCCACCTGTATGTATAGCGTGAATTTTGGCAATTGGAACATTTAAAGACTTAAGTCGATCCATATTGACTATATTAACATCAGACCATTTTGTTAGGATGAACATAGTGTTAAGGAATTTTTCACACTCTGCTATACTTAGTTTCTCTTCGAGTCATGTGGTAAGAGTTTTCCAGTCAGTTAAAGTAGACTCTCCATTGCGCAGTCTCAAGAGAATGTCTCAAAAGTCTTGTTGTTCCTTGAAGTTTTCAGATTGACATTGAACAATATCAAGCTTATACACTTCTTTAAACATTTTGTATGCTGCAAAACCGTTATTAGATAGTATATCTCGCAGAATGTTAATATACATGAGAAGATCAAGTACAGGTGGGAGCTGGCCAAAATCACCAAACATAATAATCGATCTTCCATCAAAGAGTTCATTACTATGTTAGGGAAAGACTTGGCAAAGCCGCATGTCAATTAAACCAAGCATTCGGCGACCTATCATACTTTTCTCATCAATTATAAAATATATTACATTTTGTAACCTATTTTGTAGCTGTTTTAGCCGTTCACCGTTGATGTCAAGATGGTTAATACTATTTATTGGAATGGAAAGTGTTGAATGAATCGTCATTCCACCAATGTTAAAGGCTGTAACATCTGTTGGTGCAAGCACGAGTATAGGCGACTTAGATCCTCTTGCTATCTTATGAAGTTGATCTCGGATTGCTTTAATAAGATAGGACTTTCCAGTCCCTGCAGTTCCCATTATAATAATCTTTAATGGTTCAACTTGGCCATCTGTAAGTATACTGTGGTAATGAGATTCTATTCGCTTAAATATTATCTTTTGTTTTTCATTTAATGTCTGATAATCCACAAAATTCATAATTAAATCTTTATTTTTTTCATTTTCAGAATTCCATTGGCCACTACTAGAAGCTCGACTCACAAAGTTATTGAATTCTATAAGATTTATATTGAGTATCGTTTCCTGGCATCATTAATCCAGTCATGATTCTTATCCATGTCTTGAGGTCCTAGGTCGGAAGAACAATCGATGATTGTACTTGGACCCATCCCCGTCAGAAGCATTCAATCAGGTCTGAATTCGTCTTGCTTATCATCTTCAAGTAGTTCCTCATACTCTTCATTAATGTTTTCGCTTTTCTCATTTTCTATAGGTTGTCCAAGCAGATCAATTGGGTCAGCATTAATCTCTTGGAGATAGCAACTATATAGAGTTGACCACGTGATAGTATCATTTTCAGTTAGTTGTTGAATATCTCGATGGTGAACGTAAAGAAGAACCTTCATACTACAGAACTCTTCCCATTCTGTTCCTTTGCACAGTGGTGATGGGCGTGGGAAGATACATACAATATTTTCTTGTTTACACTTAATCCAGCGATTGTTGATAAATTTATGTGTCAAGTGGAGGCAAAATAATGTGAAATCCTCAAATTCGGTAGGTCGATTCCAATATGTTTTTAAAGGTGATTGTCTTGTCTGTTTAGACTTATTACCTATAAAAAAATTTTCACTTTCTCCAGTACCACAAATCCATCTTGGTGTTTCTTTGTTAAGATTCAAGGAAATAAATTGACGACTTGAATAATAAAGAGGAATACTAAGGAGAAGATGACAAGTCTCTTGTGCAGAAATATCATGTTCTGAGATACTATGAATGAGTAGTTTTTGGATCGAGGTAAGTAATGGATCATCAGGTTTTCCATCACTAAGGATCTTGTTTAGTATCTCTGAAAAAGCAGCTGATCGTGGTTCTGCTTTGCTTGCATACTTTGAAATATATTGCAGGGTTGCGTGAGTACTGAAAATTGGCTTTAAATCAACATTTGCTTGCCAACCTTGTAGTTGAAGTCGGCTATGTGGGTTAACATATGGATCATTTCTTGCTGTTATTAATTCCGGCTGGCCATGGTCATTATCACGTACAAAGGTATGCTTAATGTTTTCTTTAGGGTATCCGAATCTACAGATTTGTTGACCTTTTTGGTTAATACGAAGACAGTATGAAGGACTGCATTTTGTGTGTCATTGTAGCTTGTTAATTAGATCAATATAGTCTTGCTGATCATCATATAGTTCATTACTACGTTTTTGACATGGATGGCGATCGGGAATGGGTGCATTTAACCTTGGATTTATTGTGGTGACAAGAGTATCAAGATATTTTACTACCACGTTCATTTCATTTTCATCTTCCTTCATTCATTTCCATTCTATTACAGTTGCATTTCGTCTTTTTCCGATTCCATACACATGGACACTACCACGATATTGCCATTCAAATCTATACCACCAATCTTCCAAATCCCATTGCAGTTTTAAAACATTATTAAAAAAAATCTCAAATCGTTTATTGAAAAACCAGGTTGCGATATGAGGGTTATCGACGATGTTTTGATGGTTATATTTAGTTGATCTAATATCTCCTGTGTAATTTTCATTAGATGGCATGAGTTTATGGAGCTCGGGCCAGTGCAGATCGGCAGCACTGAATATAAAGAATACTAAGCCTTGTGAACCTATTTGTTTAATCATGTCAGATAGTTCACAATGCTGTGCATTCCAAAATTGTCGAGATCCACGTAAACCCTCACCATATCGCATAATCTTGTCGGCAATATTCCTGTCACCTTGAGCGATTCTTTCCTGAATATCAGTAATGGTAAGTTGATCATCAGTTAAATTTTGTTTAATGTAAATTCTCACTTCTTGTAATGCTTACCATCGCATCTGTGAATTTAGAGCAAAATACCACCAGCAAGTATGGCATGCAAATCTCCCATTTTTATATTGAAGGAGGTGCTTAAAGTATTCAGCTGGCTTAATGTCCCTAATACATTTCATACGAAGATCTGTATACCCTCTTGGATAAAGATTTGGAAATGCACATGCGATATATCCTGGTATTTGGAATTCATTGACGAGATAGTTGTTAATCTGTGGCCATGATATAGGATGATTCTCATTTTGCATACGATTGAGAGTATTATTGTCTGGAGCATAGTGTAGGATTTTATTGATAGCATCATTTTTAGAATATGTTGAAGGAAGAAGCGGAACAAAGGTACATGTAATCACAACATCCTCATCTTCAAAATTTAAATCTTTAGCAATCACTTGATTATTTTGAAGTTGGTCATCAATAGAACCATTGATAGGCAAAGACTGAAGAATTTCATTATCAATAATAATATCAGTATAGTAATGATTGTTTTCCTTTAACCAGTATAATGCATTAGTAACCTTGGTACGATGAATTCTAAAATTTCTAAATGCTGCCAAATTATTTGCAGATTTGCAACGTATAACAAGCACATCTAATAATGATGAATGTCGAGGGAGATGAGTAGCAAATTCTCGTATGTCTTGGGGGAAATTGATTACGTTTCCGCGGTATCTATGCTGTCCCCCACGAAGTTTATAGACTGTCATTATGGGAAATACTCGCGCGATTAACATTTCCTCAATTTCCGTAAAACCTTGGAGCTCTTCAGGTACTTCACCAGGATCCATGTTATTTTTTGCCGAGAATTTCTTTGAAGAGGCCTTCTCAGTGTAACAACGACAGCATTCTCCATTTACAAGAACTAATAATAGAAAGCTTTCGTTACATACAGGGCAAAGAGTATGTTTAAATTTATCTATTTTAGTTCAAAATTTCCGTAAAAGATTTCGCTCAAATTCACCAAGAGTAGCAGCGGGGTGTGGCTCGACATGTGTATCTATAATATTTCTGTCACATTGAGGTTGGTTATGATTCTGCTACGGGTTCATTTCTTGCTGATTTGTCTCTTTATTTTTATTAGTATCTTTATTTTGCTGTTTACTAACAGTCCTTAGTCGACTTTTTTGCTTACGACAATGTTTTAGATGTTCTTCATGTTGTTTGTCAGTCTCTGTTGCCAATTTTTTGCATTTTCTTTCTCGGTCACGTGAGAGTCGCGTCTCCTGTTCTTCAGTGGTTTCCGTTACTTTTTTTTCGCAAGTTTTCTCACGTTGTTTAGTAACACGTGCCTCATATAGGCTAGATGTTTTCTCCTTTCTGTTTTTACGTTTTCGAAGAGTATCACGATAAATAATTTTATCATCCATTTGGATATGATTAAGTAATATGGAATGTCACTAATTAAATTGTCAGTACTCTTTAGATTTATGTTAATATTAGTAATATATATTAATATTCGACTAATAGATTTTTTAATGATATATATTAATCTTCGATTCATCCAATTAGTGGTATAGACTTATAGCGTTATTAAAGTTTTTACTTTTAAATATAGCCTTATTATTAGAACTAAAACTATATTCAAACCTGTTAAATATTACCTATTACGGATAATGATCACCGCTTAAATAATCACATCGACCTACCAGAGTTACACCCAGGGTAATGCTGGTTATTGCTATGTGGATAAAGCCGTGTCAGCAGTATTTGCTAGAAAAACAGCTCTTTAACCTCCTAAGTAACAATGGCTATTTATTTAAGTGACGGTATACTTTTGATGTTAATAAAAGAGCGAATATATAGCGAACTTGACTTTGGATTGTCATTTTTAAGAGATGTCTTACCTGAAAAGATCTTTAAATATTGGGCTCGACGATAAACTTCTATTTGTTGATGTTGATAAATGGTTTCAGGTATATGGGTTTTTTATGCTTTTTTTTTTTCGGATATAACACACTTAACTAATTCAATTTGGTTTCTCTTTTAATACTGTAGGTCACAGTTCATAAGCGCAATAGGCAAATAGTTCTTTATAAGGATAGTGTTGACTATTTAGACATTCCATATGTGTTTTTTGTATGTCAAGTCATTTTAATCGTTCTACGGTCTTATTATTCTGCTATGTTAAATATAAAATCTGTAAATAAATATTTTATTGATAAATTTTTTAATTGATAAATTTTTTATTAAATTTATCAAATTTAAATTTAACAGGTGATTATTATAATAACTAGGATTATTATTATTATTATTATTATTATTATGACTAGGATTATTATTATTAGGATTATTATTATTAGGATTATTATTATGATCGGGATTATTATGATTATGATTATTATTATTATGATTATGATTATTATTATAATTATTATTATTATTATTATTATTATTATTTAAATATTAAAAAATATTAACATTAAAAATTAAATTATTATTATTATTATTATTATTATTATTATTAAATTTATATATAATATATAAAGTTTTTAAATATTAAAAAAAAATATTGATCAAAAAATCGGTTATTTAATAATAATATTTTAAATAATAAAATAAAAATAATATTATTAAAAAGTTTTTAAATATTAAAAAAATATTACTATTTTAAATTTATTAATATTTTTACTCCGGACACACAATGGTTTCCATTTTCTAATATATCCAATACTAATATAGATAATATTGTAGTAGACCTGTGGATCCATAGTATAGTGGTTAACACTCCACAGGTCAGATTACAAGATACCAGTTCAACCCCAGGTGAAAACGGTTAAACCAAATTAAAAATGGTATCTGGGGCCATAACCTGTTAAGCCCTGTTTTCAATAAGAAGTCATTCGCATGTTGATCCAGTAGGACGTTGGGATTGTGATCCCCAGAAAAGATGTCGTGGCATGACGATCATCCGGTTGGTGTTATGATAATCACCAGAAGTTGCAAGGTATATGAGATGTCCGCTTTCGACAAGCAGGTTTGATGATATTTCTCCTAATATCCGGTGTCTTTCACGCAGATCCCTGCCCTAGTCTCATCCCAATCCAGTAATAAACCGGTCTGGCAGTACTTATCCTGAGAAGGCTTCTGGCTATAAGTCCTGTTCCCTGCAATATGTAAGTCGATGTTCAGGTGGTAAGCATCAGTTATAAGTACCTTGAACGTTCTTAGATATCATTGGAAAGGTAAGAAATTAAATGATTAGCTCAGCTGCAGGTAGTGGTAAAGAGATTTATTCTTGATAGAGCAAGCAGTGATCATGTAGCTTTATTCACCATAGATATTACCCCTAGTGCCCCTTTTCAACTTCTTCTTAATTCCTCCCCAGTTAGAAATAAAGCTGTCCGACTACTAGTGAAAACGCACACTACTGGTCCAACAAAGGAGTACCTTTATCCAATAGATTAGCCTTTATACCTAATATAGTTAGGAACAAGCTACAGCAAACATTGTTATTTGGAGCAATATCGATAAGTGTTGAGTATAGTTAACAACTGATATGTTATAGCATAGTCCTAGATAGTAATGTCAAAAGATATATATAAACATTGTTATTGAATAAATACTCAGACAGACAATTATCACTGAAGATTTTAAAAAAAAAAAAAAAGATAATATTGTAGTTGTACTTGATATTAAGAATTCATTTTCTGAAGCTAATTTTGATCATTGTTATAACAATACTATTGGTAAAGTGAGTGACACAAGGTGTATCACACAAATGGCATGAATAAGCTAATGGAAGGAGCAATACTTTAGCAATACAATGGCCTAATCTATGTCTCTTTAGGATATCTGGAACTTGAAATATCTTGAGTTAATAATTCTTTATTATACATAAAACATGTGACATATACAAGTGATATTTAGTACATAGCACATGACATGTGACACTCAATCCCAAAAGGTATTTGATATTATAATAGTATGAGTTTACAAATACCAATAGCTCTATTTTGTTTTACTTTTAGTTTTTCTAATTATTAGTAAGGGATTGTAAAGGTATTAGGATAATTAGGATAAAACACTAGTTTATTATTTCATTGTTTTACTTTATATTACATGCATATGATTTTCAGAGAACCAATAAGATTATATGTACTATTTTAGATTTATATTTTTACTTTATTTATTTATATTAGGAAAACATGTATATAAGTAAAGATGGATTCCTAAATTAAAGGTGAGGACATAATTCAAATGTCCCTCACTATTAAAAAAGTTTTTTTTTAAATATAACACTAGTCAAAATAGATTTATTCGGCATAATTCCATTCATCAATCATTTGTCAAAAAAGCATATAATTCAGCTAATCAAAATTATATAACCTTTTATCTTCAGCTATAAAGCGGCATATAATTTATTCGGCACATAAATGGTATACTTTTTTTAAATCTCATTTTGAAGAAGTTAATATTTTGACAGTAAAATGGATAATTTATTTTTTGTATTAAATATATATACTGTATATATTTTGACTTTGTCAAATTATATTACTTTAACAAATTACATTATCTTGTCAAATATATATTGTTAAATTATAATACTTTGCCAAATTATATTACCTTGCCATATACTGTATATATATTTGCTGAATTATATTATATTGCCAAATTATATATGTTTTGATGAAATTTTATATATTGTATTTGTAATTAAAAGAAAAAATAGCTAAATATTCATGAAAATTTTATCTATTTGAAATTTTATATTTAAATAAAATAAATTGATCAAAAATATTGTAAATTAGAATTATATATTCGCATATAAGCAGATAAAATTTGGTATTCTATAATTCAACATTTGCATCATTTTCGTATTCAAAATAGAATCTGATATTTGCCAAATTAACAGGTTTAAACCATCAAATAAAAACCAAATTGTGTTTTGTCACATTATTTGATAAGTTGACTGAATGAGTAAAGAAAAATTGAATCTGTCCTGAATATAAATCAATACTTCCATTATAATTCACAAATTATATTAAAACAAATAAATCTTTTATATTTCATGGTAACATAATGGAATCAAAGATTTCACTTATAATTCGATATCTTTCATATTAATTGGCTCTATTTTAAACAATTATTGAATTATTAATAATATATTCAACAAATGATTTTCGAAAGTTCATAGTTTTATAAGAAGCTTTATAATATTTAACCAATAAATCCAAGATTTTGGAAAATACAATTAAATTTAAATTTTTAGGATGCAATAGTTTGTTAGAAAATTGTTTAGATCTATTGATAACCATCTCTTAAATATTATATATGTTGTTTAAGAATTGGCATAGTTTGTTTGTTAAAAATTGATCCAATTCTGAAATTGATCTGAAATTTGATTGATTATTTAAGATTTCGAGTCTTATATTATTATAATAAGATATGATTAGATTAATAATTTGATGATCATTTATTAATCTTTGCATTAGTTTGGGCTCAATATTTCAATAGCTATTAAGCAATAATTCTAAATTTAAAATTTATTAGAATATTATTTTACAAATATTAATTATAAAAAAATCTATCTAACAAACTATTTACTTATTTAAATGAAAAATATCAAAAAGCATACAATGGCTCATAATCATATGTGATTTATACAGATGTAAAGAAAGATAAAGGTTCAGCGTAATTTTTTCTTTATCATATTTTTGCTCAATTAATTTAATCATTGTTATTAGTCTTTTATGAGCTTTGTTTGATAATTCTTGTCTTATGATTTGACATACTAATATCTGACATATTTTGACAAAATTAATTAATATTCAGCAATCAATTTTCAAAAGATATTTCTATAAAACAATAGTCACATATATTATAAAAAAATTCCTTTATTGGTTGGCAGTAAAGTTTGAAAAGTCTTCTCCATAGTTTATTTTTCTTGTAATTCGGCCAATATCAAATGATATTTGAAAATTTTTCATTGTTGCTTGTATTTTATCTAATATATTATTTGTCAATATTCTTTTTTTAATCTATATTTGTTTAACAAACCATTTATCAATACCTAAAAAAAACAGTGCATTGGATTAATAACCAAATACTAAATAGAATCAAAATAGGATAAGTAAAGCAGCTTGAACCATCTAGCTAGATTCTCATTGACAAAATGTTTTCATGTTGCATTTGTATCACAATTTCTCCATTCGATAGCATTTCATATATGTGTTGCCAAATTTCTTTGTATAAATCATTTGTTTATATTTTTCATGCTACTAAAGTTATGTTGATTATTTATATAGTTAGTTTTTTTTTTACAATGGTGACAAGATACTAGTGCCAAAATATATTCACATACTTTGTGCACTGCAGGAATATTATATGAAACTAAAATTAAAGCCATTCAAATTATTTTTTTTTCTTA